CTCTCAGGAGAATAGACTACATTCTATTGCTATGAAACTACAATAAAGAGACTCTTTACATGTTTTTACATTGTTTAAAGTTGTTTTTAAATTTTCCTTGTTGCTGGTTTTTTAGTTATAACAATTTACATTCAGCCATTTTGCTAAGATGCCATTGATTGCTGCCATTAATTTTAATGAATAATAACAGAGTCTGATAATTAACTTCCGGTCCGTAACCAATCCCGGTTACGTTAGTCTATTATATCCCTGGTAGAACCCTGAATTTTAATTAAGGCCTGGTTTACACGACGACGCTAGCCTAATCTGCATCGTTTTTGCTATGACTGTTTTCAGGTGTTTACACTAATCCAGCAGCTGCATTTTTATTGGACTTTATCATTCGTTTATAAAGCGGTTTCAGTGACGTCACTTTTTGACGTCATAATTACTTCCGTATGGCAAAAATTAATGAGCCTCATTCGTTTACAGCAGTAAAGTTGCTTCCTAGATCCTCCCATATCATACCACTCCCCCCTACACCCACTCTTGAACACATTGAGGTCAGGGGCCAGTGCAGGCCTTAAAGACATTTTTTAGATCAATACAAAAAGTACCAACACACTAGTAGATTAAGATGAGCCACTAAGGGAAGAGGACCCCGGTCAGTAGTGCATTATTCGGGGGGGCTAGGGTCCTAAAGCACCCCCCAGGAAAAGAACCACCGTATTTTTCTTTTTATTTTTATTTTTTATTTTTTTATTATACGGTGGAAAAAACCATGACCACAACCCTGTGACCCAAAAAAATATATATATAAAAAGAAAAACACAAACCAAAAATTCCTACAAATGCAAATAAGGCTTAATAATAATAATCGCTAAATTACAATAATAATAATAATAATAATAATCTTTCGAGAAGAGCCTAACACAAAAAACTTCATGAGTTCCTATAAGAAGAAAGCGAGTAACTGTAAGCCAGCAGCTCAGACCATACCTAACTAAACGACAATTAAGGAAAGAACCAACAAAATCATTATGCTATCCATTAACACTACACAATATACAATAATATGAACCTATTATAGAAAAGAAAGGGGGGCGGGAGGGTGGGAAAAGAATATATGGAATAGAAAAATGAATGTCTTTAGTCTAGATTGCCTGCACTTCTGCCACACTGTAGACTGCAGAACACGTGCATAATTGCACACTATATAACATCTAGGATAAACCACACCCATAGGTGTGCTCTATTATTACTGTGGGAGCTTATTTTCTGCCTAATTCATTATATTCAACCGTCAGAAAATATACCTCCCATATCATACCACTCCCCCCTACACCCACTCTTGAACACATTGAGGTCAGGGGCCAGTGCAGGCCTTAAAGACATTTTTTAGATCAATACAAAAAGTACCAACACACTAGTAGGCAACAAAGAAAGGGTATCAACTTCAAGCTACTCCCTACACATACAAATGACACTTACAACAGCAGCTTTCTAGAGACATCCAACCTAGCCGAAAGGCTGTCCTTAATGTAACCGTCTTTAGCTGATTCCGACTTCCAGCGACCATGCTTTTTAAATAATCTATCAGGCACTCCCCTATTAGCCGCTAACGAAGCTCCTCCAGACCGAAAACTGTGTGTCCCATAGTCCGCAGGATCGTATCCCAGTGCTTTAATCTTTCCCATTAAAATCTCTCTAATCCTCGAATAAGAGAGCGACCCCAAGGAACGTAATCTCTCACCATTTTTTGACTTCACAATACCTCTAAATAAGCACTCTGCACTTTGCGAATCAACCCGTGCCATGCGGCAATATAGCTCCAACCGTCCGACAGGACACAATGAGGACCCAGAACGTGCAATGACCACTTCATCCCCTTGTCGATATTGATCCGTCTTGCTCGATACAATTTTGATCACCATGTGGTCTGACAAAAACCTTACATCACAGCATCTTAGCTTTACCACCTCATCAAAGCGTAAAAACCCGTAAAATGCAATAAATGCTATTGCCACTGCTCTCACATCAGATAAGGATGGATCCTGGTCAAGCGAATCTACCATCTCCTTTAACATGACCGGCGACACTGGCTCCTTCTTCCTCCTAGGCTTAGAGAGACTCCTTTGCAGACCAGCCAGAGCCATCTTCACGAAAGGATCCTGAGAAATCGAGGTATATCCAGCAGTTTGGCTAAACCAGGAAACAGCATTGGTAGCTTCCTCCACCGCTGACCTAGATTGCGTCAGAGATCCAAGGTGCTGTAAATACAGTGCAAAGTGAAGCGGATTAACTGGGAGCTTTCCAAAACTATCTCTAGACTCAGCCCACTGCACCCACCTAAGAAAAGCCCTGGTATATTTCTCGATAGTACTGTCTGCTCTTGAGTGCATGATGGTATCTTTCAGCTTCAGCACCAGTTGCTGCAACAAGGGGTCCTTGATCTTCCTAAGCTCCTCCCATACCCCTGAACTTAATACCACTAAAAATGAAAAATAACACAATTAATAATAATACTACATGTCCATCCTTAAATCATGCATGCGCATGCACATGTATGTATCAATACATATCCCAATATTGAACAAAAAGAAGCAAAAACAAGAAAAAATGACTGCTCACTGCAAATTTGTCCCAAATCTCATGCAAAGGGACTAGACAACCAATGAACCAAATCCAAGACTGGCATAGTTACATACAACAAACCTTAATTGCCATTTACAACAGCTGCAAGAATTAAATTTATGCCTGCTGCACACACTGGATAAAAAAAAAAAACTCCAGCTGAATCCTTTACAAGGACATGACCACAACAATGGAATAAACTGATAGACTACATATAATATAATATCTATTATATCACATATAATATATAATACACACACACACCCAAACACAGGCAGAATGGGTCAACAATCAACATTTAAAAAACAACATTCAAAACTACAAT